TGTCGAGTACACCACGGTGTAAAAGGCTTCTTGCCGTTCTGACTTGGTGCACATAAGGTGATATTTGAGTTTAAGCCAAAAGCTTTTCAAGAAACATCAACATAAGGATTTGAAGAAAACAAATTTAACCAAAGGCACATGTTAACTTTTAAAATTGTTTCATGATTATATTTTGTACGGGATTTAGCTTCAAAAACATAATGGAACATGTTTCTATAGCACAACATCTCCGAGGAATTGAGGAGATAATTGCACCTAGTTAAAGTAAGTTTCGTTTGTTTAACGTTTCACACAACAATATTCACAGCTATATAACGCTTGTCTAGAAAAGAATCTACCTGGATGAGACAAACCAGTGATCAATAGTGTGAGCAACGCTCTACGCTGTCGGGGTGTGGTGGCATTCAATCACGCAAGTCACTGACGCTTTACCACCCGAACTATTTGTTCACATCTTACAGCCAGCGTAGGCTGCTTGGGTCCTGTAATTCTAACCCGGAAGCCCCACATGGATGTATGAACAATGTCACCAGCCCTAAGAGATGCCATAACAATTCATAGACAATCAATACAAAACAACGGATGACTTGGCAATATTCATATTGATCTATGTGGGCTCCTGTCGTAAATCTCTGTGTGTGATAACAGTGAGTAAATATTTTCCACAGGATCTAATTAAACCATGTTTTTGATTGACAGTACAATATGTACCTTCATCTTGACATCCATTAAAGCTATGTCGAAGCTGTCAGGGAATTATGCTGCGTGATCACAATAAAAAATACATTGATCACATTGCCTAAACACAGAAGCACATAGGAATGCATCATTCGTTAGAAACGTCTGGAATTAAACACACTCCTGAGAAGACGTTGACCGTCAGAGAGGTAGGTTATTGTCTCGACATGCATACTGCACGTTACACCAAGGAGCGTGGTGTTTTACACGATCTTGAAAGGTTACTAAAACATCACAACACGAGTAATGTAGAAACAATAAATATTAGATCACTGTTACATTCCTGTGATCTCAGGACTGAAATGGGGATCGAATAGGGTGACAGGAGGAAATCGAACATGGATCTTTGTGTTATGGTTGATTCAGTGATTTAGGAATAGCTAAACCTTGACAAGACTAGTCATATAAAAATGTTGTAATAAGTGACTCATGGAATTGAGTGAGTGAGTTGGGTTTAATGCCGCTTTTAACAGTATTCCAGTTATATCGCAGCGTGTCAGCTAAATGTGGGAGGAAAGCTCGAAGTAATGCAGGTCTCAGACGTTTACCACTTCGGGTGAATCAAGCAAATCATGGCAATAGCTTAATCATGATGCAGCTGCTGTATCGTGGACTGCAACGCAAAATATTCACTCACTTTCATACTCTTACAAATAAATGTCACACTGCTGGATAGAATCTATCGTTAATGAAAACCATGACAACTGAATTCCGGTATTACCTTAACATTTCCAGATTGTATAATAATAAGAATATCCAGATCTTTTTACTGGTCTAACTGGACGTAAAAGGCAAAATAGTGGTCAACGTTATATGAATGGATGACTGAAAATCAGTAATAACAACGGGTGTGCGCGAAAAGGATAACCTATACCTTGGACAAAAGCTGAAACGAGAATTTTCTAAATTATAACCATACATGATCCGATACACTATTTTACTACTTAAAAACATCGTAAAAAAGTGGTCTAATAACGGCACATACACTTAACTACAGCATTGCAGGTGAGATAAAATGACTTCGGGTTTAACGTTGCATTATTGTACTTTTGTTTGTGTGTGTGTGTGTGTGTGTGTGTGTGTGTGTGTGTGTGTGTGTGTCTGGCGTGCGTGCGTGCGTGCGTGCGTGAGTGACAGTTTGTACTAGTCCGGACTAATGTGCGGTTTTGATAGAGCCAGGCCACTGAGATAACATGTCGCACTTTAACATGGATACCCCCAACCAGACACATTATCATTTATTGTACCTAATAAAGTCGATATATTTAATTTAACATCATAGATACAAATATAAAATTTTGAATCTCGGTCGTCACCTGTTGTCATTGTACAAAGGCATTGAAATCTGTTCATTGTCATGTCACATAAGGCCACAAGGTTGCGCTGAACTCAGTATCTTGTGTGACCGCCCCGGGCAGCAATCACGACTCTGCATCTCCTCGGCACTGAATTTAATTCATGTAGCAATTTGCTGTAAAATTTCCCTGAACCACAACCAAGTCAGATCTCGTGGTTTAGGATATGGCCCCCCTCAAACAATGACACTACCGCCACCAAAATTGTCGAATTCACGTACAACTCTCATTTCGAAGACAATAAACACGCTGTATTCCACCTCGCCGGTGAACAAGAAATCGTGTTTTATCGCTAAACCACATTCGTCTCCAGTATCTTAAATTCAAAGGCTGTAAGGTATGGCACCAACGAAAGCGTCTGCAGTGGAATTGATCTGTGCGTATCGGTCCCAAAGGCGGCAAATGGTGCTGTGGTGGACGTTGAAGTGGCGTGCAACAGCAGACATCCGATTCCCCTCTTTGGATACGTCCTATGGCGATGTTCCGACCGGCAGCGCTGAGTCTCGGCATTTTCGAACTTGAAAAATGTTGACAATTGAATGACAAATTATAGGCTTATGCTTTCCTTTTTATAGCCACTACCACGCGTTACGTGCGTTTACTTGCACGTGCATGTTGCTTGACTGTTTTCCTCCATAACATTTTTGAACAAGTGTTAAAACAATGCCGTTTATGTCATTGTAAATGAACAATGGCTGCGATTCGACGCACCGTTTGTCGAATATCAGGCCAGCAACATTTTCCATTGACATATATCGAATATATATATAGCGGACTTTTTGTGTAGTCAGGTTCAGTGATCTACATGCTATCCGTGCGTTTATATTTTTAAAGAGTGTATAGCTGGGATGTTGCTGGGTAGTGGAATAAACAAATTATAACTGGATACAGGGATAATACAAAAATACTATGGGGTCCAAATTAACCGAGGACATAAAAATCATGTCTCAGACGTGTAATAAACCCTGGATGAGCTTGACCTCATCCGAATGCGGAACCACATTTTTCATTCAAAGTTGTTTACTACAAACTACTACGGAACAGAATGATCTCAGAACAAGACCATTTGTATCTCTCAAATAACACTATAATCTAAATATGACACAAGACATATATTTACACAAAACATTTATTCATAAACACGAATTTAAAAGTTAACATTAAAATTATTATTGATCTGTTTTCAGTGATTCAAATATGACATTTGCTTCGTCGCAGATTGTACCATACACGTCAACAATATCGTTAAGACAAAGACAAATAAACGGAAATGGTAAAGGTACCTTACTAAACATCTATCACAAACACAAGTAGAGCCATGTCATTCAGGTTTATTCAAACAATAATTGCTGAATAAAGAAAAGGGCCTTCGACGTCAGTTTTGGTAATTCCAGGAATCCTTCCGTTTCATTTGACAATGAACAAGTCCCTAAACGTAGACGAATTGCTAAATTTCCCGCTTTCAGTGATTCGTCTGATAATAAGACAGTCCATACACTCCCCTTGTTTGAATACTTAATGGAATATCTTTCAAATAGCCTTCACCTGATGTAAAAAACCTGATGTCCGATATCCTACAGTTGTCTTGGCCTTGTGTTTTGAAGGTGTTCGAAGGGTTTACTTCAAATGATGTAAATATATTTGAACACAGGGTTATTCTTAAATTTGCATTGATAAATTAAAATTTCAAGTGACACGATTCTCAGTTATTATTTGAATACCGACGCAAAGAGTCTATCTATTAGGCTCTACTTCTATATGAGCACTGCTTGAAGTCGTGATTGGTTTTACTATCAAGCGGTATCCATACACAACCTTCACTTCGGGTGAAGGGGTTGTCGTTGGGTGTGTGAATTTAATTCATCTCTTTGCATCCGACAAAAGCTAATGGATAATAAATTTTTTTTAACACACTCGCTAGTGTGTCATACTGTTTTTACGAAACGAGTGTCACAAAAAACAATATTGACAGAACAATCACAAATAAGCTGTCAAAATGATATTACTGAGAAATTTATATGTCAGTGGTACTAAAAGCTTGAAATCTATTTTTGAAGTAATGATACTTTTCATGAGACATCTCCATGATTTGACAAAGCCCTTACAACCTTCTTGATTTATGAAAGTGACATACTGTTTAGGCACACTGAACGAATTTGTATGATTTCAACAGCTGTCTTTACGAGTCTTTAACAATTTAAATTACAACGCATTTCCATCTTTATGGCACTATTAGAGGCGTCCTAGGAATATGAGGTGTGGGGGGTTATAAAGGGTGAGAACTAGATTTAATACCTTTAATTTGACATACCTGGACAAAACCCCAAAACGTTAAGGCGACACAAACATATGTAAAACTAGTAATTAAATTTCACGACTGCACAATAATGCAACATAATGTTTCTTCATAAGAGCTATTTTATCCCAATGAAAGTCAAGTTGTACAAACAGGCATTGTTTGAATACCTAAGATCTAGTTATGTTTGTTTAAACTTAGAATCATGGTGTCATCATTGATTTTCAGTGATCAACTCATGTAATTTCCATCACCAATTTGCCTTGTACGCCCAATGGAAGCTTCATTCGGCTGATTACTCTCTGGCATTGACGTTATTTATTTTTATACCACAAATCACTGTTCCTTCATGAAAAGTAATTGGTTTCTTTTAGGATAAGCAAATTGTGCGCTTCCTCTTTATCTTGTCAGCATCCCAAGAATCACGGCTGTTACACTACTACTAAACACAAAGAAGCATGCAAAACAGGTCTTGTTTAGTTTAGTTTCAATATCTACCCACTCTGGCCTTATCTGCTCTTCATCCTCCACTTTGCCATTTACAACATCAACTTGATTTGATGCAGAGTTCTTCTTACACATTCTTAAGATCCATTTCGGTGGTGGCTTACCTTTCATTTTGAGCAGGAGGATATTCAATACAACGATGATTATACTGGTGAAGTTGGCCAGAGTCACGTAGAGGCTGAAGAGGCTGACGGTGAGAGAGTTCTCAGGCAGGGAGTCCCTGATGATGGACAGAAACAGCTGGAAGCTGAGGAGGACAGACACGGCCATGCTGGTCTTCTCTCCGCTCTGTGAGGGCAGCAGGAACACGAAGGGGTTAAGGGAGTAGAGGAGGACCACGGGGAGCAGGACGGTGAAGATGTAGAACAAAGGGCGTCGTCTCAAATGGATTGTTATACGTATTACCGGTCCATCATTACCACTGTCAATGTTAGTGATGTCTTCAGGGGAAATTTCAAACTCGCTATTTTCCTTAAATTCTTTCATGTCAACATGTGCTTCACTGGAGAGACGTATGTTGTTGTAGAACCCGAACCATCCACGTATTACAACAACACAAGTCTGAGTATCAAAGGGAAACTTGTAAATGTTGATAGGACACCTGGTTTCCGTTGTCCCTGTGACAAGCCATTCAATACTTCCATGACTTGTAACCAGCAGAGACCCTCCACTCTGCAGTAGATCTGGTCCCTTGATACTATTTCCTATAATCAATTCAGGTTTCCACAATTTGTGTGTGTCTACAAGAATTCTTTTCTGTGGGCTCAACGAATTATTCCAAACTACTCGATGGTCGTACCACGAGAAGACCCAAAACATGGTGCTGCTAAGATATTGTTCTTTGTTGTCCAGTTCTTGTACAGATAACAATGTTGTTTGAGTACTTATGTTAACTACATTGCTGGGTTTGTGATGGGCTTTGTAGCCTTTTAAGACAGTGTCAGCGACTTCTCCGTCAGATTTACAACATATGCTCCATGGTATACCTTGCAGTATACATGTCAAGATAATAACCTTCCTGGCAGCCAACATCTTCTCGGGTATATGTGTAAGTCCAGGCGTGGCATATGAATGATACGTTCTTCTGTATTGATGCAATAGCATCAGTCTATGCTTCCATGGAGATGACATTAAACAGAATATAATCCTCCTCTGACTTAAGCAAACCTCGAAATGGCTTTAATGGTCAATATGAACGTTTCAGGGTTATTACGTAATTGCACTTGATGCAAAACTGTGAATATAAACATGGTTTTATTATGCACTGAGGAAATATTTAATCAGTGTTATTCAACCAAGAAAGGTATACAATAGAGTCACATTGATCAATATCATATATTTCCTTCTCAACAGTTTTTTCTATTGATTGTCTGTGAAATGTTTGCGCACAAATACATAACATGTAAAATTATAGCTACAGAATTCTTTTCAAATATAATTACACATCTCTACTAACAGCAGAGTCCATTTTCATTTTAGAATTACGATTCTGGGGCCTAAACTTGTAACCCTGAACAAAAGAACATTTTACAAAGAGTTGTATGACGCCTTTTGAAATCTTCGCAGAAAGCGTGATTGTACCTCAAAAGTTGTGAATTGTGGCCACCAAAGGCTTAGGTCTGCCGAATTGTTGCCTGACATAAAAGGAATCTTGTCTGTTGAAAAATTGCCGTCCTCCCTCTTCTCATACAGTCTTGTGGATAGTTGTCTATGACTCTGAATCTTTATGCATATATTTAAATATGAAACAGATGGGGCGGTTTCAATGATCTGTTTTAGTTCTAGATTAGAATGAGATGGTTTCACTAGTCACTTTAAGTTCAAGCTCAGGACGGTAAATCAATGGACAAAATCACATCTAATACATACACGAAGCTGAAGTTAAACTTCTTGGCCAAATGCCATTGTTCATCTTTCTCTGTCCAATGATTTGCTCATGATATAACATGTATGAGAAGAAAATGTGTGCAACCATTCTAACACCTGACAGGCATACGTCGTTTCGTTGTGCACAGAGGATGTCTTTTCAGATGGATGAGAATACGTATTATATGTTCATTTTAACCACATCTACTCTCAGTGATGCCTGCAAAGGAAAGTGCAAGCTCAATTTGTTTTCATTTCATATTGATTCCTATACGTGTGATAGGTGCCTTCAAATCCAAGTCCAAGTTTGTCTTGTTGACATTTCTTAGGATTATTGCAAACACATAATTCTCTTCATATAACGCTCGGTACCAAAATAACCTTCATTTAATTTGATTTTACTCAAAGTTGCTCCTGATCTGAACCGTTTATAAGTTTGTCATTGTCGGGAAATCAGATATAAGAAAGTACATAGGAAGCTTGTTCTCACTACTTGTCGTCAACAAGTTATTTGAAAGAGCCACCAGTAAATCCCACGAGTTCCAAGAATGAAAAAGTCCCTAAAAGTCATACACCACATATAGTAGTCCCTCAAGTGCGCCCCCATGGTCTAGTGGATAGAGCGTCTGCCCTGAGATTGGAAGTTCGGTGGTTCGATCCCCAACCGCATCGTACCTCAATACTTTACAACATGGTAATTGTTGTTACCCTGCCTGGTGACCCGTGAAGACTTGGGGTAGAATATGTCTTCAGCAACCCATACTTGCCATAAAAGGCAGCTATTCTTGTCATAAGAGGCGATCAGCGGGATCGGGTGGTCAGACTCGCTGACTTGGTCTATGCATGTCATCGTATCCCAATTGCGTGGATCGATGCTCATGATGTCAATCACTGGATTGTCTGGTCCATACTTGATTATTTACAGACCGCCGTCAAATAGCTGGAATATTGCTGAGTTCAGCAAAACAAACAAAACCCTGCCTGGCACTTAGCATTAAGGGGATAAAATAAAGACTGGCGGCTCTGGTTCAGTATACTATTAGTTGTTGTGTTTTTAGTTGCTGTATACCGTGTCAAATTAGGTAAGCAGAAAGAAATTCTGCTAACCCAATAATACAGCGTATACGGCAACTAAAGACACCATAATGAATTTATTATGTGGAAACGTTTCATTGTCGCACATGTCATGTCAAAATGAAAACTTGACACTTACAACCAGTATAAACGACAGGACCAGTACATATGTTTCCCATATACAACGCTTTAACGTAAACATAAATGTTAAAAATGGAATATATAATACACTGAATGTGAACGTTTAAAGTATTATAGCTAAATTATATAGCTATAGAAAGAATTATCGTAAAAATGCCTGCATGTTAACATAAATCTGAGGGTCACTGTAACTTGACAGCAGTCCGATTTCGGGCTGCTGTCCATTCCATTGCTATGTGACGTCATTGGCGTCACGTTTCTTGTTTGTGACGTCATCCTATATTATGTTCTATGACGTTGCTATTTGTAACTCATTCTACCATGACATTGTTGAATGCTTGATTCTGATTGGTTAAAAGAGGTTTCCTTTTTGCTACGGAAACCCCTTTCCAATATAAGCCTTTTCACAAACAAACGTGCATATGAATATCATAAAAAAAAATGGATGCCGATCGATTATATTAACTGTAACACGTATCTATATTTCCACTATTACACACTGGGTCTCTCATACCAGCCAGGTCTCTAATACACGCCGAGTCACGCGCTCTCGCGAAATTAATAGTGGAAATACGGTAGTTTGATATCTGATGTTTTGGGCGTTCTTGGCCGCAACCCTGACTGCTTCTATGAAGACATTAAAAATTTAACGAGGGCATATCTATTGCATACAAATGAAATGTTTATGAAACTGTTAGGGACATGTTCTATGGTGTCAAGAATCAGAACAATTTAAGCGATTTCCTCATTGAAACAACCGACAATGAAAGTAAAATATAACATTATAAAAATTGTTTGAAAAAACTTTATTCGTGAAAACATGTTGTTTACTAACCTTTTTGTGATCGATATTTGTTGCCATCTCCGTAAACCACCATTGTAATGATTTGGCAGAAGAGGATTTGACTCCATCACTCAGAAAACACTCGTCCAATCGAAAAGCCAGGAAAACAATGTTCCGACATCATTGAAGTAAAACTGGATGAAATTCATTTCAGAAGAAAATCATGCACAAACCACTATTTCTGTGTCACAAATGTCTCATTTCTTTCACACTCTGGCTTTGAATCTGTGAAATCCTGAAATTGACAGGTTACACACACATAGATCAGGGCTGTCATCTTGCTTCATTTAACTGAATGTAAACGCAAGATTGTCAGCCATTAACAGCCGTGAGGTGTGAGAAAGCGTGATGTAGGTCAAGTTCTGCCACATCCAAGTTTGGGGTGGAGAGGCATTTATTTTGACTTTATTATTGTTTACTGGGGGTAATTGTTAACTAACTAATAACACTTACACATCTTAAATATATAATAGAATGTTAATTCATGGAATTTATTGTAGAAGTATATTCGTTTAGCATTTTAAAACCTTTTTCTACAACCTGACACACCTACAATTGAAATGGCATGTTCGATTTCCAAGAAATGACCTCTCTCGCATACTGCAAAGAAATGACATGGTCAGTCAAAACAGTGCAGAACGGGTTGGTAGAAATAAAAACATCTGTCATTGGACTAAGTTTCGAGTGTTATTTGTCAACTTTTTTTTGGACAAATTATGTGTTTCTAACACTTATCTTGAACTACTTATGACTATGGTGTTTTTAATCTTCAACTTTAGTAATAAGTGTTAAATATGTAAGTAACTACCTGTGACAACTTTCCGGAATGTGCGAAGATTGTGGACCTGTGTACCCTGTGTTGTTACGCGTTGCAAGAGAGCACCGTTTTTAAAGCGTTGTTGCCATCATGGTAAAATGGAGATAAACCTACTCTGTTTTGAAATTTGATGTTGTCCCACTGCAGAGTAAATACCTCTTTTTGGAATTTGGAGCCGAGCGCTTTAGCATGAAGTTTCAAATGTATAAATGAGAGGTATCTTCTCTACAGTGGAATGACATCAAATTTCAAAACACAGTAGGTTTATCTCCTAAGTGACCACTGTTGGAAGCGTTTTCTCTATCATTTTTATCAAAAAAGTCATGAACGTCGTTTGTTTACAAAATAATGTCTTTGCTGATCACAATTATTGATAGTAAAACACAAAACAGTGTCGAATAACGAATTTGTGTACCAGAATTTCCATGTGAAATATGTGAGGTGGGTGTTGGAAAATCCAACTTGGCTGCTACTGATTGTATACGGGGTATTATTAGGTCAGTAGAAACCATCTTGGATTTTTACTGACGGTATACGAGGTCATGTGGGGTTAGTAGTTCTGCTCTCTGATTGGTCAATCTCACTTTGAGGCATAATAATGTGTCTGATGGGGGTATACGTGTTAAACTGTGACAGTGGCCTGGCTCTATCAAAACCACGCATTAGTCCGGACTGGTACAAACTGTCACACACGCACGAACACACAGACACAGACACGCAATGTACAATAAGTACAATGATGCAACGTAAAACCCCAATTCATTTGATCTCACCTGAAATGCAGTAGTTAAGTGTATGTGCCAGTATTATACCTCTTTTATATTTATAATACACTGATGGAATAAAATAAAGGATCGCATAGATAGTGCAGACATAAGATTTTAATACAACACTTGATCAAATGAAAGCTACATGGTAAATAATGACTTAATCTCAGTTCTTCAGTATGACGTGTGACCACCACGAGCTCTCACAACAGCCTGACAACGTCTTGGCATACTCCGAATTAATGCCCGGATTGTAGCCCTTGGAACATTAATGCCACTCTTGTCTTAAACAGTCAAACATCTTGTCCAGATTACGAGGTTGATTAATGCGATCTCGCACCCGACGACCAAGAACGTCCCATAAATATTCTATCGGGTTAAGGTCTGGACTTTTAGGCGGCCATGGACGCACAGCGTCCTGGTTCTGCCTAAAAAAATCGGCTGAATCACGATTCAGGAACGAACACCAGTTAGACGACCATCCACACGAATCAAATCTGTTCGGTTGTCGTAGGTGATTCCACCCCAGACCATCATTGATCCACCTCCATATCTGTCATGCTGTTTGACAGTGCATGCTTGGTATCGTTCATTACGTCGTCTCCAAACACGTATCCGACCATCTGTATTGTCCATATTGAAACGAGACTCATCGCTGAACATGGTGTATCGCCAACGACGCAGCTGTCTGGCTCCATGCTGCCTTGCCCGCTGTAACCTTCACCGTTTGTGTTGTTGAGTCATCCTGATTCCTACCACGGGACGGCGACTTTTTAGCCCTGCTGAACGCAGCCTGTTACGTACTGTGCGATCACTTAACCATAGATGTGTGACAGCTCTGAACTCGGCATTCACTTTTGGGACAGGTTTAAAGCAATCCCTCAAACAAATCATCCGAATCTGGCGATCTTGACGAGCTGTGGTTTTCTTTGGTCGCCCACGCTCACGGCTCATGACAACATCGCCGGTCTGCCTGTAGAGGTTCCACAGTCGTGAGAGGATACTGATGGACTTCTGAAAGTGTCTTTCAACTTCTCGCAGTGACTGGCCTGACCTCACCATTCCGATTGCCTGCCATTTCTCCTTCAAACACATGTACTGTCTTGGCATGTTCCACGCAGTTGATGTCAATGAGATCGGTCTTACAGTAGAAGACTTTATACCCCATTGTGCCATGAAAAACCACTGAAACACGTGCACTGCATGTCTTTCTATAGGTGATAGCCTGCGATTTGGAGATGTTGACCATGTACTTCCGAAAAACGGCCACAAAATAATAACAACATTCGGACTCATTGACCATACACACTATGCGATCCTTTATTTATTTCCATCAGTATATCTTTAAGTAGAACATATTGTTTCACATGACGTGTATCGGATCATGTATGGTCATAGTTTAGATAATTCTCGTTTCAGCTTTTGTCCAAGGTATAGGTTATCCTTTTCACGGACACCCGTTGTTATTACTGATTTTCAGTCATCCATTCATATAACGTTGACCACTATTTTGCTTTTTACGTCCAGTGGGACCAGTTATAAGATCTGGATATTCTTATTATATAAATAATCTGGAAATGTTTATGCAATACCAGAATTCAGTTGTCATGGTTTTCATTAACGATAGGTTCTATCAAGCAGTGTGACATTTATTTGTAAGAGTATGAAAATTCCAAGTGAGTGAATATTTTGCTTTGCCGTCAACGATACAGCAGCTGCATCATGATTATGCTATTGCCATGATTTGCTTGATTCACTTCTTACAACATTTTCATGTGACTAGTCTTTTCATAGTTAACCTAATCCTAAATTACTGAATCTACTATCACACAAAGACCCATGTTCGATTTCCTCCTGTCACCCTATCCGAAGCCCGTTTCAGTTCTGAGATCACAGGAATGTAACAGTGATCTAATATTTATTGTTTCTACATTACTCGTGTTGTGATGTTTTAGTAACCTGTCAAGATCGTGTCTGTTCTTTGTAAGACTTAAAACACCACGCTCCTTGGTGTAACCTGCAGTATGCATGTCGAGACAATAACCTACCTTTCTGACGGTCAACGTCTTCTCAGGATTATGTTTAATTCCAGACGTTTCTAAAGTTATGATCAATTTAGTTTCTGTTGTGATGATGCAGCATAATTCCCTGACAGCTTCGACATAGCTTTAATGGATGTCAAGATGAAGGTACATATTGTACTTCAAACTGTCAGTCAAAAACATGGTTCAATTAGATCCCGTGGAAAATATTTACTCAATGTTATCACACACACAGATTTATGAGAGGGGCCCACATAGATCAATATGAATATTGCCAAGTCATCCGTTGTTTTGTATTGATTGTCTATGAAATGTTGTGGCATCTCTTAGGGCTGGTGACTTTGTTCATACATCCATGTGGGGTTTCCGGGTTAGATTTACAGGACCACAGCAGGCTTCGCTGGCTGTTAGATGTAAACAAATGGTTCGGGTGGTTAAGTGTCAGTGACTTGCGTGATTGCGTGCCACCACACCCCGACAGCGTAGATCGTTGGTGACACTTTATAGATCACTGGTTTGTCTCATCCAGACAGATTTGTTTCTAGACAAGCGTCATATAGCTGTTAATATTGCTGTGTGAGGCGTTAAACCAACTAAACTTAAAAAAACTTGGTGCAATTATCTCCTCAATTCCTCGGAGATATTGTGCTATAGAACCATGTTCCATCATGTTTTTGAAGCTAAATCCCGTACGAAATATATACATGAAACTTTGCACACCGTTTCACAATTTCAAAAGTTTACATGTGCCTTTCTTCAAATCTTTATGTTGATGTTGATGTGAAAAGCTTTTGGCTTAAACTCTAACATCACCTTATGTGCACCAAGTCAGAATGGCAAGAAGCATTTTACACTGTGGTGTACTTGACAGAAGTTAAAGTGCCAACCGGACTGTAAATAGCGCGGTATTGTTTGCCAGACGTTGCGATGATCGGTCAGCGAGTTATCGGTGACCGGAAATCTTGAATAACTAAAGAACGAGAGACTTTCACATTCAAACCTTGGCAGACTACACCAGTCAATGTTGGTTGGTTGGTTGTTGTTTAACGCCGCACTCAGCAATATCCCAGCTAAATGACGGCGGTCTGTAAACCATCGGGTCTGGACCAGACAATCCAGTGGTTAACTACATGACCATTGATCCATGAAACTGGAATCGATGACATGCATCAACCAAGTCAGCGAGCCTGACCACCCGATCCCGTTAGTCGCTTCTTACGACAAGCATAGTCGCCTTCTACGGCAAGCAATGGTTGCTGAAGACCTTCTCTACCCAGGATCTCCACGGGTCACCAGTCAATGTAACAAAAGACAAACGATATCTAAAATTATCAAATTCGATCTGATATTTTTGTTGTAAACAATCCAGTCGTCTGTGAAACAACGTTGGACAACAGAAGTGGGCGAAGTTAACCTTCAGTCAGCTGACATCTACTGCGCGAACATATCTCATTATAGTAAACCACGTGGCGAACTCACACATGGCTTCTCGAAGTGTCTGTTTACTTGCAACGAAACTGCCACAAAAATACCAAATTTATTACAAAGACGTTAAGTTTCAATATCGCAATGAACACATACCAATATACAGTATTCGATTGTTTTATGCAGGTATGTTGTAAAGAATATTTCATTGAAAATGTCAGAATGGAGACTATTTTGTGGCGTAAAACAAAACTCACTCACTCACTCATCTTCGGACATGCCATTAAACAATTAAATAAACAGATATAAAATATAAATTTAATTCCAGATTCACTGTCTACAAATATAAAGATCAATTTGAAATCTATAGACAGTGCTTCTTTATAGAAATATGCATGTTATGTTATGAATAATCGATGTACATGTATACTTCGGAGACGCCTTACCTTTTAACTTATTTCGTATATTCATCATGTTCCATATAAATATCAGGTTCCATATAAACTTAATATTCGGAATATTTAAATCCACGATGGTTCAAAACACAATGGGGCATAATTTCTCAGCACACACTAGGCCGAATTATCATCAACAGTTTCGTCGAACAGTCACTAGTCAACAGTCTTGGAAAGATACCTCGAGTATTCCTTAATGCATTGAATTTATTCTGTCCAACCTTGTCCAATAGTTCGTGTATATAGTTTTGCGAGTTACCATAACCCCGATTAGTAATGTTTGGAATATGGTTTAATTCACAATCGGGCTTGTTTACCCAGAGCACACTTAACAACAGTTTCGGGCAAACGGTCACGAGTCTTGTCTTCTTCGATAGATACCTAGGATTACTCCATGCATTTCGTCTGTCCAACATCGACCAATAGTTCTTGTAAATAGTCCTGCGAACTCCACTATGTCTGTCGTGAGGAGCGGTGCCTCGGCCAACCCATCTCTGAGGGAATGTTGTCACACACGGGCGGCAAAAACGATATGCACATTGCTGACAGCGACCTGTCAAAATTTACTACGTTGTGATAGCCATAAGAAACCGATAGAATTTGGAAGAACTCATTGGAGAAGAGATATATTAAACCTCATGAAAATGGTTGATGAATATAAGATTTGTAGCGAATTCGGAATTCTTCATTTGTTAACAAGAATTGGTAACATTTCACATCACAAATAAGTATATGTGTTCATGTCTGGTCGTCATAAATCAAAACTTTTGGAAAGCATCTTCTACAACCCTCAAAATATTGGTAGCGCGTTGTTTGGTCAGCTCTTTCTTATGTTGTGTGACCCAAACTTTGGTGGGTAGTCTAATATACATCATCGGGTTGGATGGGTTGTGTTGGTCTTGATGGTAAATGGCATTCATTGCATTCAAACAATCAAAATCGACAAATGTTGTTCAATGTTAACATGATTTGTGATGAACGAAACAATAGATGCAACTGAAGTTAGGTTCTATCAAAAGTCTCAAAATTAAGCACTTTCATCAAAGCGAAACTCACCTGTCTCATCCCTATGGTTTACATAAACCACGCCCAATTTCCCGCTTTTCTCTATTTGTTTTCTGCTAATTTTATGCAATCTCTTTATAGAGTGACCACTATTGTAAAAGATGGCAGAAATTGCTAGAATGTTAGCTGATGTTAACGGGATTAAGAGAACATATTCGAAAGACAATCAAGAAGCTGTGGAACGAAGCAATTTGAAGAGAATAGAAAAGGAAAAAAACAACCTTTTCAGCCGAAAACAGAGACGAGATTGATTTAATTTATGAACAAGCGAAGAAAATCAAAACTTTTCACGGCGCAGGGAACCTTAATCTTGTGACAAACAAACAACAAACAACAATAATACTTCTCATATAAATATTGATGTTGATCGTACTCGGAAGAAAATAGCCGTATTAGACTGGAATGAACCTGTAAATGGACCAACAATGCCATAAAAAAATGTCACGGATGTTAGAAACCCTAGACGCAAGGCCGAGACTAAAAGTTCTCAAAGGAAAAACTTACAACATGTGGGATCACATTTGGAAGCACTAGGTCGCTATTTTCCTCGTGTTAAGGAAGGTACATTGTTCTATAATGATTTAAGAAGGTTTAACAATGTTATTTTATTAACTACGATGATGTGCATAACGGTGTTCACGTGTTGTCGATTACCGCATGTATTTTAGATTGAGACACGTGGGTTACTATAAATAACAATCACATTTCCCCTTATTCGTAAAACATTTACTGCGGATGTACGGATGTTGGGGCTTCAACGTGCAAAATGGTTGTGTATGTGGCTTGGGTTGAGAACCACGTTGGGAGCCATGGTTATAATTAGTCATCACCCCATGTTTACAAACTCGGACAGCATGGCTCCACTCGTGTTTGTGACAGATGGGAGTTGTGCACTACTTTGGGATGTAACTACGGGGATAAGTATTTTTGTGGATAGTGTGTTTATTATGGCTTTGGTTTTCCTATTGTTCAACAGCCCAAATAAACATTAATTAATACTTTTTTTCTTTTGTCAGGGACTTAAATTTGTTTAGTAATGTGCCTTTATTAGTCTTTGTTTTAACGAGACTGTTAA